TAAAATAAAATTTTTAAAAAAGCTTCCAATTTCAAAGCCAGGTGTGATGAGGTATGCCTACAATCCCAGCATCTGGAAGGCAGAGGCAGGTTTTCCACCAGTTTGAAGTCACCTGGGACTACATATTAAGTTCAAGGACAGCCTGAATTACAGATCGAAACTTTGTCTCAAAAAACCAAAAAACACAACACAAAAAAGGACTTCCAGTTTCATGCAGGGGAAAAAAAAACCCTAAAAATAATCAGATACTTTCCCTCCAACCTGTGAACTATTAGATTTACTGCTCCAGGAAACAAAGAAGTTCTTGTATTATGTCACAAAAAAACAACAAAGGTTCAAAGTGCTTACGTTATTTGTTTTCAATCACTAGCATTACGACTATCCATAAAAAAATGCTGTATCGTTTTTCTCCCCCAAACAATGTATAATTTATACTATACATTTTCTAGGAAAAGGGTAAACAGTAGACAGGTACTCACCAGCAGACAGTGGGCAAAGTCAGGGCCTCCCACCAGGCCGGTAAAATTTCCCAGCTGCTCAGCAAGCGCTAACAACACCTCATCTTCATCATAAATTGTATCTGGAAATGACAACAACTGGGTACTTACTCATACAAACAAGTGGCCTTGATCTGCGCGCTCACACAAAAGTTGGAATGGGAAGCCGGGCCTGTAATCCCTGCACTCAGAGGCTGAGGCAAGAGATCATTAGAGTTCGAGACCAGCCCGGCCTATAAAGTGGGCTCAAGGCCAGTATGAACTGCATAGTGAGACTATCTCAGAAAAACAAACAAAAAAGTTGAAACAGACTCAGCAAGTAGATAGTAACAGGTGCATTTCCAATCCAACCATGTTTTCTTCCTTCGCTAGCAGCAAAATTAATTAGAAATTTATTCTCCTGTATCAGTTATTTTCCAGTCTGCTAACAGGTTAATGTTCAAATACATCCAGTTGTAACGTATGCTTTGTGTCTCTTGCATAGCGTCAATTCAGTACGTAATGATACTCGACACAAACACACCCACCTGTAAGGAACGGCAGCAGTTCAGTTCGGGTCCTCTCTACTCCAAGCGCCAGAGCAATTGTTGACAACTTCTTAATACTGTTGAGTCGGAGCTTTAAAAAAAAAAGGCAGTGGGAAGAACAACAAAGTAAAGAAATGGTTACAATTCAGACTAAAAACCGAAAGGGGCGAAATAACGACTATGGTAATTAAAAAATAGTATCAGGAGGGGTAATACTCATTTGCCAGAGGAGACGGTCCAAGGAAAACCAAAGAAGAGCTTAGAACAGAAATGAATGAATGGCAATACCCAGGAAGTGAGATAATTTTTAAAAGAGAAACCACGTCAGCAGTGAAGCAGGTGAAACGGCTGAATACAACTCCCATCTTTTCCAAGAAAAGTTCCATCGCAGCTCACAGGCCGACTCATCGCGCCCTCCACGTTAACCAGCCATGCCCTCCTTTCTACCCAACGCGCCCAGCCAGTCTCCAAGCCGGAAAGAAAGAAGGCACAGGCTGCACTCCGCAGGGCTTCCCCCGCGGCCCGAGACGCGCGGTCTCCCCGGCCGCCGGCTCCAGCCGCTCGCGGCGCGACCCCCACCCCGCCCGAAGGGGCGCAGGGCGGGAAACCGGTGCTCCGAAACCGCCCCGAGGGCCGGCGCCGCGCCCACGCCGCCGGGACCAGGTACGGCTGCCCGCCGTCCCGAGGCAGGGGCGCGCCGCCACGACCCTCGGGGTCTCTTCCCGCCTACCCTTGCCTTTCCGCCCCAAATCTCGCTCTTCCCACCAGGAGCTTCTCCCCGACCCCGGCCTTCCCCCTCTCCTACCACGCGCCCCCCTGGGCCCTCCTCAGCCCCTGTCCACTACTGTACCTGCACGTCCTCATTGCGGAGCTCGTCGATTAAAACCGCAATGGGATATAGGGAGTCGTCTCCATCTCCCCCAGCGGACCCCGGACCGCTGCCCGGCCCAGCCGCGACGGCCATGTTCTTCCTCCTCTGGCGAGTCGCTGCCGGCCTCCGCGCGCCCAGGCCCCGCCCCGCGCCCAGGCCCCGCCCCGCGCCCAGGCCCCGCCCCGCGCCCAGGCCCTGGACAGCTGGATTGAGCCTGGCACCCTGGCTCTGTGAAGCTGGGGGAGCTGAACCTCTGCCCTGGTGATGAAGGCTCCCACCTGACCTACATTGCAGGAATTGTAAATCTGAACTCCAGAAGAAGGGTGGGCTGAGAAAGCCAGCAGAACCCCTGCGCCCTTTCCCCACTCGAAAGAAACAAGGGCAGGGATTCATCCTTCTAGCTGTGGTCTTAGGAAGTCAGGGACCTGTGCAATCCGTGCTGCGACCGCGCAGGACTCAGCAGGTCAGAGGGTGCCCAAGGCTAGGAGGAAAAGGCGGTAGCGCCTCCCTCAACTTCATCCTGGCTCCGAGCCACTGAGCCCTAACTCCTACACTGGGCCTCGAGCCGGCACCGAACCCCTCCACCTCTTCCTTCGGCCTCTTTCCAGAATCGTAGCTGGCTCCTGCTCCCAAAGACAAATAACGCGGGCGGCGAGAGAAAATGAGAACAGTGCTGTCCAAACTCCCCAGTCAATATTTTTTCCACGCAAGCTGTTTAAAACATGCTGCTCTCTTGTTTTTGTGTTTCTTTTCAGCCTGGTACTGGAATGGTGCCGTCTGTTGTATTTTTTCCTCCCATTTTTTTTAGCTCTTTAGCATGCAAGAAGTAAAACAATCAAGCAAAAGTGGGACAAACTTTAATCCTTCCAAATTGGGTGGAGTGGCTACTTGTTGCAAGAAAGCCTAACCTGGGCTCCCTACACCTCCCACAGTCCTTAAAGGCAGCAGGAGGAGACAGGGGTCTAGGAGTTCTTTCTCAGAAAACTGAATGGGAAGTTTTCCCTTACCCTTTTAATACAGCCCAAAACAATTAGAAGATAACTGCATATGATGACAACAAGTTCTGAAATATTTTTATAGGTCTGATTATTAAAATTGTAAAATTATAAATGCAGCAGGGCATGGTAGCACACACGTGTAATCTCAGCACTCTGGTAGGTTGAGGTAGCAGAACAGAGAGAGAGACAGACAGACAGAGACAGACAGAGAGATAGAGACAGACAGAGACAGAGAGACAGAGACAGAGACAGACAGAGACAGAGAGAGGACTATGAATGTAGTTTAATGAAGAGACCCTGGGTTCAACCCCCAGGATTGCAAAACTTGAATAAGAAAATAATAGTGATAAATTCAATTTAGGAGGCAAACCTTTTTAAAGCATATGGCTCAGAGAAGTTAAATGGAGTAAAGTTTTTGATAATGGTGAAAGTCTGGGAGCCAACAGACCTGAACAATTTTTCTCAAATTAGATCCATAGATGTATTTATTCTCCAGGGTTTTAATGTTATAATATTTTTAGATTTGCATAAACATAGTAAGCATAGTTTGTGTTATTGGGATAACTATTTTATGTCAGTCTTGCCACATGATTTCAGCATGTACATTTGAAGTGTTTCATTGCTGCTTCTATTATTCTGGGATAATGAGAAAGAACATAGGTGGATTTAAGATGAAAAAGATGCTTTCATACACAAAGTGAAAGCCAAATCAGGGGCCGGGGAGATAGCTCAGTAGAATAAGCCCTTGCCTGGCAAGGGCAAGGGCCTGAGTTCAATCCCTGATTCTGAAAAAAAAAAAAAAAAAAAAAAGAAAGAAAGAAAGAAAAAGAAAGCAAGCCAAATGATCATGGGACGGCACTACTTCAGTAGTGCGAAAAGTGAGAAAAATAAGATATCATAGGCATGTTCAAAAGAAACAGATTTTAGCAGGTGACACCATCGTCACAATACAAGGAATGGCCAGGTGTGGCGGTGCATGTCTGTAATCCCAGCACTTGGGAGGCTGGGGCAGGAGGATTGACACAAGTACAAGGCTAGCCTGGGGTACATAGTGACTTCAAGGTAAGCCCACACTGCAAAAGGAGACTTGTCTTTAAAAAGAAAAAAAGAATGATGTTTCAGTTTTAGCAAAAGACACCATTTGTTAAATTACCATAATACTAATTCATATAGTATTAATCTTGTGGTTTCATTGCATTTGTAAATCTGTTTTAGTTTTTTAGCTGTATAAGAACTATACATAGGCCAGGGTTGGGCTGGGGGGTATAGGTTAGTGGGAGGGCCCTTGCCTAGCATGTTCAATGTCCTGGCTTTTATCACCAGCACCACAAAAAGAAAATCACTGAAATATGAGAATAAGAAATGAAAAAATGACAGTAAACTCCCACCTTGTATTTGTAAAATTAAGTAGTATTATAATAATTTCAGAGTTTTCAGGATTCTTTTCCTTTAAAAATGGATCTATACAGTTCAGCAGTCTAAGCCTATGCCTGGCAAGCACAAGGACCTGGGTTTGATCCCTAGCACCACATGCTGTGCTGGCCCAGCCCCGCCCCGGGTGCACCTCACTGGCCACCAAGACCAGGCGTGGTGGCACACACCTGGAATCCCAGTGCTGGGGAGGCGGGGACAGGAGGATCACTATGTGTCTGAGATGCACAGTGAGACCCTGGACCAAATAAATAATTTTTAAAAATGAAAAAATGGATCTATACTGCTCAAATTTGAGAGACAGAGAAGAAGGTTTTTAAATTAGTACTTTACCAATTAGAAGATCAGAGGGGATTCCTACTAGCATGGAAAGGACAAATCTATTCTTTTATACACTATGTAAAAAGTCTTCAGAAATGCTAAAGAAAGCAAGCACAGAGAGCAGCAGAATGATTCAGTTCCACCTCAGTATATATTATAATCTGGATACTGGTTTAGGCTTAGAAGAGCCTTGATATGCCAGTAACAACTGGCACACTGATGCTAAGCTATTTTGTTTAAAAGTCAGATATGATTTGCTTACCCAAGCACAATGAATTAGAGACCTAAGGAATAACTATGATTAAATATGAAATCACAGGCTGAGGAAACAGGCCTCAGAAAATTGCCTGGTTTGAGTCACCAGCACCGGACTTCAGTTCCCATCTCGGTCACTGACTCATAATGATCTACCTCTCCACATGCCTCAATTGCACTGTCCACCCCCTCACTCCCAATAAAACACAGCTAATCACCTCTGGTTCCTGCTTTAGTTACTGTGAGAATGAAACTGGCCATGCACATGGAGATGCCAATAAATCCTTCAATAAAGAAAGTGATTAAAACAGACTGCAACAGAAGGCTGTTTCAAAAACCTGGGCCGAACTGTAAGGCAGTCCTTTGAGGAATGTGGCTTAGTGACCAAGCAAATTACTCAAGATGTCTATTAAAAATCCAGATTGCTGGGCTAGAGCTATAGGTCAGTGGTAGAAGATATGTTTTGTATGCATAGGTTCTATCTCCAACAGCCACACATAAAAAAGGTAGATTCCTGGCCTCTATGCAGACCTACTGAATCATAGTACCTTAAGAATAAGTCACACATCTTATAGTCTCCCCAGCACTTCTAATGTGCATGACATTAATTTAAAAGGTTCATCTGTACAAACAATTTCCATGTCCATAAATAGGCATCTGCTCAGGTAGGATCTAAAGAGTCTTTGAAGGCAAACTGTCCAGCAAAAGCAAATGACAGCTTTAACTAGTTATCAATAAGCGACTCTTGCCTGTCCTTTGTGGGGTTTGCCAGATGAAAAAGCTGATCTCTCTTTTGCTGGGTTCCTGGGAGTTACCCATGCTCTACAAACACAGTGCTGGGGCAGTGAGGTGTCTCCGTAGCCTTCTCTCCTCTCTTGCTCCCTCTGGTCTCCTCTCCACTTCCCACACAGAACACAAGAAACAAATAACTGGTGAAATCAGAGCCACACACTGAGATCAGTCTGAGGATAAAAGGCAGCCCTTAGTAAATGAACTCCTCAGCACAAAAACACAGAGTTCTCTGGGATGGTGGTATACCTACAATGCCAGCACTCAGGAGGCTGAGGCAGAAGGATCATTAAGAGTTGAAGGCCAGCCTGCATAGTGAGACTCTGTCTCAAACAAAACAGAACAACAGGGTTCTGACACCATATACAGTTCACTCATTCAGTGTGAATCAAGGAAACAGCGCTACACTTTCCCAGTTCCTATAAGAAAAAGGATCAAAAATACAAGAAAGCACAAGAATATGGAATCAAAACCATGAATTCTTGCACTTAAAGCAGTTCTAATTGTCATAATAAAAAGGATCAATTATGGAGTCTTGAAATCCTCGCTGTTGCTCTCAGCTGTAGAGATTGACAAACTAGGCCTCATGCAAACGCTGATCTGATCCACAGAATCACTCCCTGAGCAAGCAGGTCAAGTGCCGAAGACCTGTATGTGGTTCTCTCAAACTAAGGGCCAGCAAGAGAGGGGTGGATGGCCCAGTCCATGTAAAGAAAACTTGTGGCACACAGAGGTGTTTTCCAACTATAATCTTCCCTTGGGATCTGTGGGGAATTGATTATAGGACCACTCCACCAATATCA